CCATGACCACTTACCTAATTATTGTTTCTTTATCAATCAGCTAGTGCAGTGATTCTCAACCTTTTTTGTACCAGGACCCACTTCTAAGCATTGATGGCCAGTCCCAACCCAGTGCTCGCAGCCCCCAAGTGTGTGTGATAGGGGGTGTGTGAAGCAGGGGGGGCCCAAGCAGCCCCTTGAGGGCAGGCTGGAACTCTGCCACCTGCAAGGGGAAAGCCAGTTTCCTACATTTTTCTCCATTACAGGAGAATCCATTTTTTAAGTTTGTTCATGACCCTTTCATATATTCTTGGGACCCATTTTTGGGTCATGACCCATGGGTTGAGAAACACTGACCTAGAGTATCCCAGAAAAGGGAACAATCCCAGGTGTGGGGCCCTACAGGAGGAAGTTTACATGCTTCCTGGGTTGAATATTTCTCAATTATTCTAATCAGAGGAAAGGGTTAATCAGTTCCCCTGTAACATGAAGTGAATGAGGATTCAGATTCTGGAATCTGCAGCTGATTCCCACAATTCACTAAAACCTGGAGTCATTCAGAGGCCTGATGCCGCTGCACAGCCTCAGAAATTCTGGTTCCTGGCAACCTGGCTCCAAAGGAACAGATCAGCAACGGATTGCATCATCCCCAGCGTTTGCCGTGAATTTGGAGAAACTCCATTGATGTCCTTGGAGAAACTGGATTTCGCCTGGACCCTGGGGCCCTGAGGAAGGGCATTTTGCACCCAAAAGCTTGTCTAACATCTCTCCCAATTACATAGCTGGTCCCAGGGCCCAAGAATGGGGTGGGAAAAGGGTACACTTTACCAGGGCCTGGTGACCCTATTACCATGAGGAAAAAAAGCGACAGCTAAATTGTAGGTCATGCTTGAGGATATGTCTGGAAAGTTATGTACTACCTATATGGCAGAGGTGGGCAATTATTTGGGGCGGGGGGCCGCTTACCCATTTTTGGCAAGCTGTTGAGGGCCGCATGGGTAGCTCCACCCCTTGACAGGCACTCTACCCCCTGGTCACTGGCTTGGGACCAATGTCCTAATGTCTTCAGACCAATATAACAGGGCCAGCACCGGCGGGGCCCAGAGCAGGGCGCCGGCTGGCAGGGGTCTGTGGAGCCAGGCTGGGCTGCACCAGCAGGGAGAGGGGAGAGCTGGCCCAGCTCCATAGAGCCCCTGCTGGCCAGGACTCTGTACTCCTGCCACCTTGCTCTGGTCCCCGCCAGCACTGGCCCCAGGACACCAGGGTGGGCCCCACACTTCCACTGGCTCTCGTACCCGCTCACTCCCAGTGCCCCCCCAGCCCCACAGTACAGGCAGGGGGCAGCATGCAGCCCCAACCCCAGCCTTGTCAGCAGGGAAGGAGCTGGTGCTGAGGGTGGGGAAAAGCAGACACTCCCCTGCCCCGTGGCCGGCGCTCCCTGCTGCAGCCGCTCGCAGTCCGTACAGGGCTGTCTGGAGCAGGCACAAGCAGCCCCACGCGGGCTGCGAGTGACTGCAGCGTGGGGTCCTAGCTACGGGGTGGGGGAGGGGCCGCTTTTCCCCACGCTCAGCACCAGCTTGTAACCTGCCCCCACTGCCAGCCTGGGCCCCACGCCGGCCCCGGACTTACCTGTTGGGACTGCACCACAGCAGCAGCAGCTGCTCAGCACAGAGGAAAGAGCCCCCCTGCTTGCCGCGCCGAGCAGTGTTTGCCATCACTGCCTGTGCTGCCCAGCATGCAAGCTCTGGGCAGGTGGCAGCAGCAAACACTGCCAGGTGCGGCAAGCGGGTGGGGGGCACTTTCCTCCGGGGCAAGCAGCTGCTGCTGCTGCAGCGCAGCCCCGACAGGTGAGCCCAGAGCTGGTGCAGGGCCCAAGCTGGCAGCAGGGCGCGGGTTACAAGCTGGTGCTGAGCATGGGGAAAAGCGGCCCCTTGCCTGCCCTGTGGCCAGTGCCCTGCACTGAAGCTGCTCTCAGCCTGTGTGGGGATGCCTGTGCCTGCTCAGGACAGCCCCACACAGTCTGCTAGTGTCTGCAGCAGGGAGCGTGGGGCAGGGGAGGGGCCGCTTTCCACCGCACTCAACACCAGCTCCTTCCCTGCCCCGGGTCCTCCCCTGCCCTTCCCTCCACCCCCTTACCTGAGTTTCCCACGCTGGTGCAGCCACATGGTCCTGGGCCAGAAGCCCCTGCTGGAGTCCTACCAATCAAGCACTGTATTGTTTTCCATGTCAGTTACTTTCTGAAGGGAGACAAAAACAATGCAGTACGCTGGCAAAAAGTGAAAGGTATTCACCAAATGTAAAAAAATGGCAAAAGCTATATAATGAGCTTCCTGAACATGAAAAGAGCATAGAACATAAAACTTGCTACTACCAGTGGAAGGAATTACAGTAGACACTGTCAGGTGGACATGGAGTGGACTGTGAGGTTCAAAAACAAATATGAACAGAAGCAACAAGATGAAAAGAAATATTGGAAAGATTGTTGGATGTTACCTTATATCTTGCTTCAAGAGGTTTAGCATTTCAAGGAGATAATCTGATAGGTGACCCACACAATGACGACTTTCTTGGAATTCTTGAGTTAATAGCTCATTATGATAGTATCACTCGTGATCATTTGGCCAAAGTCAAACAAGCAAACAGAGGGCAAAATGATGCAAGGACAGGCTCATTATCTCTCTTGGGAGAGTCTGAATGAGTTTATTGAATTATGTGGTAAGGGTGTACAGAAGGCCATCCTTGCAGAGAGAGAAAAGGCTGTTTATTTTTCTAACATATGTGATGCTACTTCTGATGTCTCTCACCAAGAACAACATGTGTTGATATTCCAATTTGTAGTTCACAATAACGATACTGGTGCATTTAACATTAAAGAAAGTTTTTTTGAGTTAAAAATGGAGAAGAGATAGCTGAAATGCTAATTGCCAGCTTGAAGCATCATAACATTCCTCTTGATGACTGTAGAGGTCAAGGTTTTGATAATGACTCTAATATGTCAGGGAAAATAAAAGGTGTTTAGGCCTGTATTATGTCCAAAAATGAACTTGCTGTGTATTCTCCTTGTGCTTCCCATTCGCTAAATCTTGCAGGAGTTAATGTGGCAGCATGAACTGAAACATTAACATTTTTTGGTTGTGTGCAGCAACTTTTTGTGTTTTTCAGTGATAGCCCTGTGAGGTAGAAGTTTATAACAGATAAGATACACTGCTCACTCTGCTGTCTGTCAGACGCAGGTTGGAGTGCATGTGCTGATGTAATCTATCCACTCACACAGCATCTTCTAGGTATTCTGGAAGCACTGGAATGAGCTCTTGAATTAAATTTGACACACAGAGCTCAATCACAACTGGAAGCACTGAAAAGGTACTTCAGCTCATTTTCATGCCTTTTGGCTAGCTTCTGGTAAAAGGTTCTTTCAAGTACTGATGACAGAAACAAGAGTTTACAAGCCAGGGGAATCTCTCTTGAATCAGAGGCAGCTCTCATTGCTGATATTATTGAAAAAGTAAAACAACTTATTGTGGCCCTGTGGCAGGGCACTGTTGGTGCTGCCACTTTAAGGGCCAGAAGGGAGCAGCCAGCAGGGGCTGCCCATATAAATAGGGCAGTTCTGCTGCTGGAGGCCAGGCAACAAGACTGCCTGGCCAGAGGGTTGCTGAGATCATCTGGAGATCAGGGAGGAGCTGTAGGGGATGGTCAGGAGGCTCCTGGTCTTGGGCATGACCTAAAACTGCACCCTGCCGGGAGTGGGTGCTTTGGTGGGGCTCCCAGGGGAGCGGGAGCCCCAGGAAATGCCAGGCCAGTGACCACCCCGGTGAAAGGCAGGTCAGGGTGCCTTAACCCCTAGCCCCAACAACCGGGTGGGTTACCCCTTGTTTGGAGAGCCCAGAGGGTGGACCCTGGGAGAAAAAGAATAAGGGCCATAGGCTCGGGCTGTCTGAATTTCCCCTGACCGGTCAATGCTGGGGCCAGGACCGGAAGGGTCAAAGGGCTGGGGCTCACTGCGAGGAATGCCCAAGAGCCGAGGGCCTGGGGTCCTGACTGGCCTGGAGGTGGGCCAGGGCTAGATGAGCCAAAGGTCCCGGTGGGGAATCACACCCGAAGGGGGGTCAGTTCAGGGAGCTGTGCTCCCTGGTATGACGGTGGAAGAGACAGCTTGGAGGGAGGAATCCAGTTGGGGTTCAATCGGGAGGATTCGGGGGCCCAGTGTGGGGCCGGTGACGATGAGACCATCTAGATGCCATCTGCGAGGCTTGGGCTGCAGTGTAGGGGGGGGATGGGGCTGCAGCCAGCGCCCCCTGGCATCGGGGCATGAAATGGGCAGCCTCCCACTTAATTAACATCTATTAATTAATCATAACAAGGCATGGCGGGTGAGAACATGGGCCATTGGCCCAGGAACAGGTGGGCGGGCCACAGCGAGATCGGCCCGGAGCAAGCCCGTTACAGGCTCAAAATTCTACAGGAAGCATCTTGTTGCAGAAGGCATGGGAGTTTTGCCACAATTACCAAAGAAAAGAGGCAAGAAGTGGAAAGGATTTAATAATGATACAGCTGAGGAATCATAGTCTACCATCTCTGAAAATGATCCAGAATCTTTATTCAGAAGGAATGTTTATGATGGCAGCTTTGGACAATGTTATCTACGGATTGGAGCACAGATTCAAAGCAATCAATAGCATTTGTTTTACATTCCGTTCAGTCCTAAAATATGTGACACTAGAGCCTGTGGGACTGGACAAAGCTTCTAAATGTTTGCTTCACAGGTATCCTACAGGTCTTTCTGAGAATTTTCCTTGTGAAATGTTGCAGCTGAAAAAAAATCTTGAAATCTACTTTTGGAAGAGTATGAACTACCCCGACTTATCTTATTAAATGAGTTTTACAAAAAACAACTGCAGCTAATTTCCAGCGAAGTGTGCATAGCCATACAGATCTGTTGCATGCTGCCGGTGGCTGTAGCAGAAGCTGAAAGAAGCTTCAGCAAGCTCGCATGCTTCAAAACCTGCAGCCGATCTACTATGGGACAAGAACAAGTGAGACACCCTGTTATTTTGTCTATCCAGTGTGAACTTGCAAAAGATATCAACTTTAGGGAAATAATTCACAATTTTGCAATGAAAAGGCCAGAAACATAAAGCTTTAAAGTGAATTAGTCTATTTATAAAATGTTTGCAGCCATGTTGGTCCACTAGAACAAAAAAAATCAAAACATTGACTGGATAATACCATTATTAGGACCAACAACCAGAAGGTTACAAAATAGTCAGCAATGTAGATTATGATTTCAGAATTAAAATAGAAAAATTTCTTTTGTGATTCGTGAGATTTTATGTATGTGTGGGGGGCAGCTGCCTTACAAGTTTGTATTGGGCCCAAAAGAAATGCTGCTTGGGCCCTGAGAGGTCCAGTAAAGTACAGTACCAAATAAATCCTGCCTGTTGCATGTTCCCTAGTCCGTGTGCCGACACCGGCACTCCCACACTTTGACTCTCCGTGGCAAGGCTCCCTACGGAGTCCCAGGGTTGAGGACGTAGCCTCTGGGACAACTCCCGGGTGTCCCGGTTGTTGGACATGGCTCGGCCCACCCAGCTCAGTCTGCCCGGGAAACGTCTCTGCGGCCGCGAAGCGGGGTCCCCGGGA